GATTGAGGCATGGCTATCCCCCCAAGGAGGATTTCTTGCTTTCCCTTTCTCTCTGGTAAGCGCATGTGCCCTAAAGCAAAGCAAAGCAAACAAGCAAACAAACAAATAAACAAAAAGAAAGAAAAAAAGGAAAAGAAAGAAAGAAAAGGAAAAGAAAGAAGAGGACCAGCAGGTGATGGGAAGGTTGAGGTGATTGGATCCCACAGCCTACTGAATATTTTGAGTCTTGGACCCAGTGGCTTGAGAATCACGCTGGGTACATATGCATGTGTATCCAAAATCCTGTGAGGAGAATGTGGAAGGAATTGCAGCATAACCATCCCTCCCTCCATCTTTGCAGTGAGTCCTCCTGCCCTATAGCAAACTAAAAAAAAAAAAGAGACCAGCAGATTGAATAGTGGTTACGTTACTGGACTCCCTCAAGACTGACTGTGGTTCAAGTCCCATACCTGGAGGCTTGAAACTCACGTTTGGTGCATGTGTGTGCATGCCCAAAATCCTGAGTGGAGAATGGAGTAGAAGGGATTGCTGCATGGCTATCCCCCCGGGGGGGCGATTTCTCACTCTGTGTCTCTCTGTCTCTCCAGCGAGTGCACGTGCCCTATAGCAAAAATCTCCCTAAAAAAGAAAAAGGGAGAAATTGATGAGGCAAGGGCAAGAAAGGATCGTTGTTGGAACAAAGCTCTTGAAAAAGAGAGAGGAGAAAGGATCTAGAACAAATGCTGAGGTTGTCTTTGATATTAGCAAGGGCACTTCACCATGAAGAGGATGAGCAACTATGAGCCAAAGTGTATGAATAGCATTTTGAAAAATAAGGTAGTTGAGAAGTGAATATTAGAAGAAAGGAACAAAGTGGGCCATGAGCAAATGAAAAAAGTTACCAGGAGTCAGTAGGTGTCAGCATCTTGGAGTAGGGGCAGTTTGTATTAACTTTAAAAGAAGTTGGTTTGGGAGATCAGCAGGTGGTGTGGCGTGGTGATTAAGGTGTTAGACACTCCTACAGTTCAAGTTCTGGACATGGTATCACAGCTTGCTTTCCCACTTTCCCTCTCTCTCTCTCTCTCTCTCTGGTCAAAATAAAATAAATGAATGGATAAATAAAATGAAATAAATAATTGTTAGAAAAAAAGAAAAAAGAACTTGGTTCATCCTCTCTGGGTGATTTCTTTTCTTTTTCTTTTTTTTTTGGAGAGGTTTTCACTATAGGGCGAGTGCGTTTGCCAGACAGACAGAGACAGACAGACAGCGAGAAATCACCCCTCGGGGGGATGGCCACGCCGCAATCCCTTCTCCTCCATTCTCCTCTCAGGGATCTTGGGCATGCACACACATGCGCCCAGCGTGAGTTTTAAGCCACCAGGTCCAGGACGCGAACCATGGTTGACTACGTGGGAGTCCAGCGACATAGCCTGGCGTGAGTTTAAGCCCCCGGGTCCGGGATTTGAACCGCGGTCAACTACATGGGAGTCCAGCAACATAGCCATTACGCTAACTGCTGCTCCCGCCTCTGGATGATTTCTCATAAGAAGGAAGAGAAATGATTTGGAGGCAATATAATCAGTAGGCTGTAAAATAAGCTTACCCGAGGACTAGCAGATGGTGTAATGCTTACCTTTCTGGACTCCCATGTAGTCAATCGTAGTTCGAGCCCTGGACCTGGCAACTTAAAACTCATGCCAAGTATGTGTGCATGCGTGCTTAAGATCCTGAGAGGTGAATGGAGGAGAATGGATTACGAAGGGGGAGGAGAAAATTATCCCGGGGGAGGGGGATGATTTCTTCCTTTCTGTCTTTCTGCCTCTCTTTGTCTTTCCATGCAGTGCCTATGCCCTATAGTTAAAAAAATAAAAATAAAAATAAAAAAAATAAAAAAAATCAAGAAGATAAAAGATAAGTTTACCTATGAGAGGAAAAATAACCTCCTATAGTTGAAAAGTTGCAAGAGAAATTGATGGGAACATTTAGAGGCCAAGAATAAAGGGGAAATGGGCCAGCTCTGTGGCACGGCAGTAATGGCTCCTGAGAGAAGTCCAGTCCCACATGGCAGCCACAGTTCCAATGCCCACTTGGTCAGCCTGAAACACACGCCCAAGATCTGATGGGCTGTAGAACTGGAGGAAGGGTTTGGCAGTGTGGCCAGACCCTGTGGAGGGTGCTCCTCTGTCTCCCTCTCATGCATGCACACACAATCTATCACTAATAAATAAAACTAAGAGTTAAAAAAAGGAAATGGCTCCTAACAGATGTTGAGATCTAAAGTGCCGAGTGAAATGGTTACGATGGATGGCAAAGAGTGGGGTATAAAAACACTCATAGAAGTGTGCAGATATGAGGACCAGCAGTGAGTGTGATGGCTGTGTTGCTGAACTCCCACGTAGTCGACCATGGTTCAAGTCCTGGACTCGGTGGCTTAAACTCACACTGGGCTCATATGCATGCGTGCCCAAGATCCCGAGAGGAGAATGGAGAAGGGATTGCGGCGTGGCTATGACCCGGGGGTGGGGTGGGGTGGGGGTGTGTGTGTAATTTCTCGCTTTCTGTCTCTCTGGTGAGCGCACACACCCTATAGCAAAACCTCTAAAAAAAAAAAAAAAAGTATGCAGATACTAGTCAGGGTAATGATGGGATGACCCAGAGATCGGGTTGTGATTGAGGTGAAAGGATTGTAAATTGTGAAGGAATTATTTTTTTTCCCCAAAGTTTATTTTTCAATGATTGATTTATTTATTTTTAGAGAGAGATTTTTTGCTATAGGGCGTGTGTGTTCGCCAGAGACAGACAACAAGAAATCACCCTCCAGCAGGGATGGCCATGCCGTAATCCCTTCTCCTCCCTCCATTCTCCTCTTGGGATTTTGGGCACATGCGCCCGGTGTGTCTTGGGCCCCCGAATCTGGGACTTGCACTGCAGTCAACTAGGTGAGAGTCCAGCGTTGTAACCATCATGCCATCTGCTGGTCCCTATTTTTAAGTTTTTAAAGAGGTTTTTAACCTTAGGGTGCACTCACAGAATAGAGCATGAAACAGAGAAAGTGAGAGGCAAAATGAGAAATCACCTCCCAGGGGAGATGGCCACACTGCAATCCCTTCTCCATTCTCCCCTCTGGATCTTGGGCATGCAAGTACATGTGCCCGGGTGATTTTCAAGCTACTGGGTCTGGGACTCAAACTGTGGTTGACAATGTGGGAGCCCAGACACATAACTAACACTAGCTAACACTGCTGGCCCCCCAGTTTATTTTTATTAATGAGATTGAGAAAGGACGACTCTCTACAGAGTCTTGTCAGTGGTTTTCTTCCCCTACCCTCCAGCTCAGCAGGATCTTGTGTCTGGTGGCACTCAGCATGTTTTCAGGTGGACTGAGCATCTGAACCCATTCATGTGGCTGGTACTGCCTGCACCACTGAGGTTGGGTCAAGCCTTTTTTCATAGCCATAAAATATGTTCTGTAGGTTTCAGTGTTGTAATTGTTAGGTTTTGAATACAGGGTTACCATCACCTCTCAAAACAAGCTGGCAGTTTCTTTCAACTGATTTTACAGTCTGAAACCATCTGGTCTAATGCTCTGGTGTGGGGGTATCTGACTGTATTTCACTTTTATTAATTTGACATTCGGATTTTCTGCATTTTGAGTTGATTTTCCTTATTTATGTTTGTATTAATATGCAGATATTTTCTGTTTGCATTCCTTGGGTCAATTGTATGTACATTTTCCCCATTCCCATACTAGTAACATTCCATTTGGAAATCTTAAAGACCACAACAGAGTTGATGATGAAGTGCCCCAAAATAGAAAAAGGGAACTTTAAATTGACTATTAAAAAAAAGCTTTGCTACTAAAATAGTAATGATGTGCCTACTCCGAGGCTTACTTCAATTTCATGGAAATTCCAAAGGTTTTTGTGCTTCCATTGAGACCTACCGGGCAAAGGGAGGGGACAATAAATAAAGTGCTCTTGGCAAAGTTTTTTAAGTTCTTTCCAAGTGATAAGACACGGCAGAAATAAAATACTCCACCCAGAGCTACTTGGAAGAAAGTACTACATTTTTAACAAAAGCTGAAATATTGTTAAGACTGAATTAAAATATAGCCCTTAAATCTCTGGCATACCCAGTTAAGTGAAACTGTGCAGCTGATGGTGGAAATTTTTCAAACAACCAAATTGGATTGCTCCCAGCCCCTGTTCACAAACGACCTTCCGAAGGGAACTTTCCCGCCATTTCTCGAGTAGAAGGTTGAAATCTTTTGAAATCAGTCTCCACCGATGCGGGAGGCCAGAGCCTACGTTACTTTCCCTGTAACGCAAGCAGCGGGATGCGAAGGGCAGCTGGCCACGCAGGACCCCGGAACTGTGCAAAAAGGCGGCAGAGCCAATTGCTCGGTAGGTGCCGGCAACGGACGAAACTCTGGCGCGCGCAGAAACCCACCAACAAGGGTAGGCAGGACGAAGGGTGCGCGGGGCCCAGCGCCCGCAGCAGGAGGAGGGAGCGCAGCCGTTGCAAGGAGAAGGCGGGGCGGGGGGGCGGGCTTGCTCTCCTCGACTCGGGATAGGCCCAGCCCGGGGAGCCGCGTGACGCCAGCCGGGGAGAACGCCTGATTTGTGACGGGGGG